CCCTCGCTGCAGTAGGGTGACACCGCTCTCTATTTGCTGGCGTGTTTGGTGATGAGAGCGATGTTTCCAAATCCGGTTCTGTTTGCTGGAGCATTCAATGCAGAAAGCCAGTTGAGGACTTGGTTGTATAGAGCGCCCAGAAGTCGGGTGCCAGGGCTCCTCCTAAGACTGTCCCCTCAGCCCTGATGGGCCTTTCTTTGCGGTTTGGGCAGGTCTGCGACGAGCCGCACCCCTTGCTGGTGAAGGAGATGATCCAGCACTGCGTGAACGCCGACATTGACGGAGCGTACAAGGTGCGCCCCGCCCTCCTGAACCCCGAGGGGCCTCCGCCTCTTGAGCAGGGCAGGGCAGCGCTCCCGGTGCCGGGCTCCACAGGCACCGCTGCTCGGTGTTCCTGGCATGGTGCTCGGAGTTGAGTGCCCTCTGCAGATGGGAAACGGGTTCAAGGAGGCTGAACTCCTGGCCCTGGATGGCTCTTCAAGAACAGGGGACCCGCACCTCCAAGTCCTGCCCTTCTGCTGTCATCACACTCTCCACAAGGGGAACTGCCCCCAGGACACGGGGACAGCCAGCCCACTGCTCACGTCGCCGTGTGGCGTCTTTCTCTGTCGAGGGGAAACGGCCCTCTCCATCCTTTGAGGGGTGTGGGAGTGGGCTCTGGGACTCGCAGTCCCTGGTCAGCCAAGAGAGGGGGACTGGGGGTTTCTTTGCCTGATTGTAGAGTCCAGTCCTGTGAGCAGGCTCCAGTGGGCGTCACTGGGGTTCAGGTGACCATCAAGTCCACATGGTGGCACCGGCATGATTCAAGACCACTGGTCTGATCACAGCAGGCTTCCCTCCTCCTGCTCCTACCAAACTCAGCTAGAAGCCATCTGGGTTTAGGGCAGGGCCAGCCCCGCTGTGAACCTGGAGTGTGAGGCAGGGAGACTGGCAGAGAGCTGGCATGTGGCCTGATGGAGGCCTGCAGATTTATGAGCACAGAGCTTCCCCAACCGAAGGCACCCCAGTGCTAAAGCAAAGGCAAGACGACTGACTGCAGGCCCTGTGGTCCCTATGGGCTGGGGGTGGGAGCAAGGGCCTGGGGCAGAGAAGGCCAGAGGCTGGGGCCGCTGTCATCCCTGCCCCGCTTGGGGCTGCCCTGCAGGGGGCGCATTAGCTTGCGGCCAGGGAAGGCACAGCGGGTCTCTGGCTCTGCAGCTCCCTCTCCGGGCTCCTCCCTGGGATGAGTGAGAAAGCTTTCTGAGAGCCCTGGGTAGACATTACACGGACGTGGTGGTAGACCATCTTGCAGCAGGTTCTGAAACGTTTGCCATGTTGTTTCTGCCTGCTGGGAAAATTGCTTCACTTGCCCCTCGGGACCTGAAGGGCGTGGCCCGCCCACAGCTCCGAGGGGCTCAGCTCATTCTCAGAATCGCTTGGGCTGTCTGGGACCATCTGCCCGTTCCCAGCTTGTGACAGGCCGGGACTGGCGAGGCTTTGGCCTCGTCTTCCCACAGCGTCCTGTGTTCACAGTTACCTTCTCGCGTCTAGATCCTTGCGCACCTGTGGCATCTCGGCTATTCCCCAGAGGACATCATTGGCAACATTTTTCGAGTGTGTAAAACCTTCCAAATGGCAGAATACTTGAAACTGGAGTTTATTAAGGTGAGTGAGAGCAGGGCAACGCTGCTCTCCTCGGGAGTGTGGCCGAGCTGGCCTTGTCTTGCTCACAGGCCTGGCACCTGGGAGATGCCCGGTAAGTGCCTGTCGATGGTGGGGGCAGGGGCTGCTGTCCTGGGGGCTGGTGGCTCATTTAAGCCGCCTCTGCCAGTCGGTGACCTGCTGTTCCTTAGATGCCTCTCTTCAGTGGAGATTAATTTGTTTATTTCTCTTTAAGGTCATTTTAATTGAGGCATTATTTACCTAGAGTAAAATTCAGCTTCTTAGGTGCATTCTGTTGACAAAAGAATTTGGTCTTGTAAACACACCACCATCAAGGAGTGAACTCTGTCATCCCCTCAAATTTATGTGCCCCTTTGCAGTCAGCCCCTCCCCTAGCACCTGGAAATCACTGATCTATTTTCCGTTTGGGGGCAGAATTTTCCAGAATGCCAGAAATGGAATTGGGCAGAACATAGCCTTTTGAGTCTGGCTCCCTGCACGCAGCTTCAGGCATTTCAGACTTGTCTGTGCCGTTGTCGCCTCTGTCAGCGGATCCTTTCTGTTGCTGAGTCATGTTCCACTGTGTGGACGGACCAGTCTGTTCACCAGTGGAAGGGCGTTTGGGTTTCCAGGTTTTGATGGCTTTGAAGAAAGCCGTTATAAGCGTTTGTGTTCGTGAATTGTTGTGAACTTGGGCAGGCGTTCTTGCTTCTCTCGGGAGAGCGCCAGGAGGGAGGCTGCTCGGTTGAGCGGTAAGTGGAGCTTTAGCTTCAGCAGCAGCTGCCGCCCTGTTTTCCAAAGCGCCGGGAGTGTGTGCGTTGCTGCCGGTGCCGCGCCAGTGTCCCAGGCCGTGCGCGTCCTCGCCGGTGCCTGCACTGCTCAGCGGGTTTTGGCTGTTCCGACCGTGTGTATGGGCTCAGGGTGGCTTTCATTGCATTTCCCAGTGACGAGTGACCTCAGGCACTTTCTCATGAGCTTATCTGCCAGCTTCTGTGCTGAAGTGTCTGTTCCAGTCAACCCATTTTTTAATTGGGTTGTTTTCTTATTCCTGAGTTGAGAGTTCTGTATATATTCTGAATGCAAGTCCTTTATCAGATGTGTTTTATAAATACTTTAATATTTTCTCCAAGCCTGGCTGTGTTTTTGGTTTTTGTTTTGTATTTTCATAGCAGTATCTTACAAAGAAATACCAATATCCTTTTAGGAACTAAATTGAATTTTAGTGAAACGTGATTCATTACCACTCAGAGTTCGTTTTCCAGTTTTGAGTTTGAGACCCTGGCATCAGCTTTGTGTTACCCCCAGCTCGGAGTTAGGCGATGCACCCCCCTCACTGTGAAGCAGGTCGGGGTCCAATTTGTTTTCCAGGAGATCGGATACACTCACGTGAAAATAGCGGACGGCGTGAACTCCCTGCTACAGATGGCGGGGCTCCTGGCCCGGCTGTGTCAGAAGACCATGGCCCCGGTGGCCAGCTAGGGCGGGAGCTCGCTGGCTGGGTACGAGCATCCTCCTCGTGGAAAGGCGGAGCGCAGCCTTCTGACGTGGGAGATCGCCGCCCGAGCCGCCCGCGGTGGATGCGCCTCGGCCTCAGACTCACGGGCGTGGTGGAGGGAGGGAAGGCCCAGAGCCCCTCCAGGGCATGGCATCTGATCCGGGCGTGTGTTGGCATTTGAGCTAATAAAGTCATGCAGTTTTGTTGGCAATAGGGGACAATGCAAGGCTGCAAGGAAAGCCAGCTTCCTGTCTCTGTGTGTGTCCCTGGTGTCCTCCAAGTACAAAAGGTGACTTAGGGGGCTGGCCCCGTGGCCGAGTGGTTAAGTTTGCGCGCTCCGCGGCAGGCGGCCCAGTGTTTCGTTGGTTCGAATCCTGGGCGCGGACATGGCACTGCTCATGAAACCACGCTGAGGCAGCGTCCCACATGCCACAACTAGAAGGACCCACAACGAAGAATATACAACTATGTACCGGGGGGCTTTGGGGAGAAAAAGGAAAAAAAAAAAAAATCTTTAAAGTGTTTAAAAAAAAAAGGTGACTTAGATAATAGACTGGACAAGCTAGTCTCACTTTCCTAGAAGTCTGGGGGACAGTTCCAGGGGGCGAGGGCAGGGTCTGCTGTATTTTACTGACTGCGTAGACTCCTGGATACGCTCTCAGGACAGCCCGGGCCCTGAGCCTCCAGAAGGGCCTTGCCGGCCTCCCTGAGGAGGCAGCCGGGCGCTCCCCCAGCTCGCCTTTGCTGCGTGGCCGTGTGCGCGCCTTGCTCTAGAGTTCCCCAGGAAATTTTGTATTAATTTGTAGGATTGCCTTTTCCTCCCCACAAGTACTGTCTCCTTTAATTGTGGAAAATATCAATTGTACGTGAAAGTAGAGAGGATGATAAAGTGGCCCTCGCACATCCCCGTCCACCCCAACAGTTTTCCCAGCGGGGGGCCGGTCTCATTGGCTCTGTTCCCACCGCCCTGCCCGACCTCGGGGTTGCTCGGAAGCAGATCCTTGGTGTCATTTGAGAATGGTGTCGAAGGGGGTGGGCTGACTCAGCATCCCCCCATTGGTGGCTGCCCGGAAAGCTTTGACTGAAACGGACTTGGGTGGAGCGCTGCCTCCTGCCCTGGGGCTCCTCCCGTGTGCCCCGAGAGCTCCCTGACCTCGCCCAGCCCGAGCTTGGCTCTCGGCTCTCGGCTCTCGGCTCTGCCCCTCTGTCCTGACTTCTGGTGCGGGAGGCAGCAGGTGGGGACAGACCTGATGGCACTTTACTTTGCGCCCTCCCTCCCGGGCAGGTGCAGTCGCTTGTCCAGACCGCATTGCTGAACGGGGACACTACGGACACAGGAAAGGCTCCAGGATCACTGGCCCTTTGGGTTAAGGTTTTGGTTAAGAGGGAAAAAAACAAGGTCCTCAAAAACTGCCAGGTGAAGTTTTACAAAATACGCTCTCATTCCTTCTCAGTCTTACTGTTTGTCTGGAGCCCCCGGATCCCAGTGAGGCGCAGGAGGGATGGGGCCCATTTGGCAGGTGAGGCCCCCAGGCCCACAGCTGCTGCCTGTGGAGGCTGGATCCCGCCAGAGCCCCACCACTCCTTTTCTGGCCTGAGTTCTGTCTCTGAGTTCGTGGGGTCAGGACTCTGGGGTGTGAAGACAACAGTTGGGCTCTGGATGTTTGTTCTCAACTTACCACACCAACTTCTCGTGGAAAGAATTGGAGTGGTGTCCTGGACGGAGGGCTGGACCCAGGGACCAAGTGCCTGTCCCCAGGCTTCCACGCTCCGCGCCTCAGGGTCCCCTTCTAGTCAACAAGAGGCTCGACCTTCATCCCCTTGGAAGGGGTCGCATGGAGCAGGGAAAGCAGACGTGGGAGAGTTTCGGTGCTTGCGCTAGAACAGTTTATTGAGACATTGTGTTTGGAGGAGGCCTTTTTATCCCTCACTCTGGCTGTTCTGACTCAGAAGGGCCCCTCGGGCCCCTGCCCTCCCACGAGACCGTCGTGTTTCTGCCCAGTCGGCTCAGCTGAGGCCAGCCCTGGAGCAGAGGATTTCCGGGGCCACTCCTGGCCACTCCTCCACTCTGCTGTTCCTTCTCCAGAGCTTGTGGTGGCTTGTCCACAGCAGACACTGCCACCGAAAGGTCATCTCCTGAGTGAGCCGAGGCCCAAAGACAGGAGTGCCCGGGCCCCTGAATGTCTGCTGAGGTTACGTGTGTGTAATGCTTACAGGAGGCCAGACAGACAGACGCTACCCGGAAATGCAGAATGTTAAATATGGCTCCACCTATATAAATTAACTGTGCAAACTGACCAATCACAGCAAACCCAGCAGCCGACAGCAGTAAGCAATGTGCGATCTAAATCCAAAGCAAAAAGGATGCGAACACCGGAGTTGTGCCATGAATTTTAGATGTGGGCGTGGGAGTGTGGCTGGCCCTGGGCAGCCGGCCAGGCTCCTGCCCCCTGGAGGCTGGTTGGAGGGTGATTCCATGTGGGACTGTCCTTTCAGGTGGATGGTCCTCGGGACGTGCTGGGGTCACCGTGCCTGGGGTCTAGGAGGCGAGCAGCTCTAGAGGAGGGACTCTCGGGGGGCGAGTGACAGTCCTGTGAGCTTGGGGGTCCCTGGGCTCCTTCAGTGAAGATGGAGAGGCTGTGTTAAAAGGAAAGGTTTGCCTTGGCAGAGCGGCTGGTTCGGGTGAGGGAGGGACGCGGCGATGCTCGGTGTGCAGGTGCCCTGCATCTGTGAGCAGCCTTTGCCATGTTTCGTATTCCCAGTGCTTCCCTTTTTCTTTGAAACCCTGACTATGCTGGTCCTGGCCAAGGCCTGGTCATTCCCACCTGCCCTCCATGTCCAGCTCCAGCCTGACCTCTCCCTGAGTGCAGGCGCAGGTCTCTGACTGCCCACCGCATCTTTCCCCCTGCATGGTCATACCTCCAACCCAGTGGGTCCAGAATAAACCCACCTCGCCCCCAAACCTGCTCCGCCTGCAGCCTCCCGGATCTCAGTGCCATGGAGCTCTCCTCGTGGTTCAGGCCCACCCTGCAGCCTCTGCCCCCTGCACCCCACCCAGGGTGGCAGTGAGCCCTGTCAGCTGCACCTGTCATTCATCACCCGCCTCCACCACTACCTCCTGGGCCAACGGGTCATCTGGATTCTGGCTGTCACGTCTTGGTCTCCTGCCCCCCTGCTGTCACCCTGTATTCAGTTTTCTACTCTGCAGCCAGTGTTCCTTGAAAGAAGTCTCTCACATGCCCCATCCCAGAAGACACCCAGTGCCCCTCCCTCCACCTCTGCAGTCCCCAGTCACTCCCGCCTCTTCCTGCTAGCGCCAGACCCCTGGGCACACTCCTGCCTGGGGGCCTGGGCCTTCCCTCTGCTGGGTGAAGAGGGGCTCCTCTCAGATCGCGCCACTGTCCCATGGTACCCCTCCTGCCAGACGGGTCCCCACCCGACACGAAGCATTTCCCTTCTGTCCTCTCATCTTGTGATCATCCGTTCTCTACCCCCGGATGAAAGTTCAAGCAGTCGGGGGTTTTTCTGTATTTGTTTACTCCCATGTCCCCAGCACTTGAGGCAGCACTAGCCCCTGGCAGGTGCTGGGTAACTGTTGGGTGAATGAACAAGCAGTGGGCTGCTCCTGCTCCTGGCTCTGGACCAGCCCGGGCCCGCTGCCTGCTGAGAGGATTCCCGTGTCCCCAGATCGGGACATAGGACAGCCTTCAAGGGCCCTTGCCTCCCACACAGTAGCAGAGCCTGGGCTCCAATGTCGGAGTGCTTGGGTTTCCGTCCCCGTCTCTGCTCAGCATGTGAACTCAGGCAGGTGGCTTGTCTGCTGTGTGCCTTTGGGGTGCCACGGATGGAGTGTGTGAGCACTTGGCACCATGTCGGCTGGTGCGGTGGCTCCCCAACATTTCAGCTACTATTGTCATTGGCACCGCCTCCCAATCCCACCCCCGGCCCCGAGTCCACCCCTGGCTGAACCCTGCTGGGTTCCTGCTTCACACCCAGTGTCTCGTCTAAGACATAGGGCCCATTAGCTCCATTTTGCAGGTGAGGAAAGAGCTCCCTGGAGATTCACTCACTCCCCTGGGGCTGCAGAGACCCCCCCCCCCCAGAGCCCACCCCTTCACCCCACGACTCACCAGCCCTCCCTGCCTGACACCCCCTCTGCCTGAGACTCCGTGTCTGCCGTGAGTTGGCCACAGGAGTCGGGGGCAGGCAGGCTGGACTGCTCGGGAGCCCAGCACCCTGCAGAGCTGCCCCGTCTCAGCACTCCTGGGTGCTGCCCCACGGCCCCCACCGTGGCTCCTCCGGCCGAGCTCCCTCCTTTTCCCTTCGAATGGGGCCCCTGTGGACCGAGGCAGCTGTACCTGCCTCCCAGGTCTTCTCTAGGCTTCTGTGGCCACCACATCCCCGTTCACATAGTCGGGCTCCCCGCCGTCCTCGTCCGGGCTCCCTGCCCAGGCGGCAGGCGCTTCTCTCAGGACTTGCTCTGCGGATGGACGGACCAGTGGGCAGGTGGTCAGACAGATGATTCACACGGACACACGCAGGAAAGGCTTCCCTGGCCGGTGTGTCTGTCCCGTCTCTGGGATTTGCCAGAGACTTGTCCTACCCCAGGAGCAGGCAAGTGTGACCCCATTCCTGCAGCTGGACGGCCTCCTGCCCAGGAGGACCTGCCCTCAGGGGCACTGTTCAAGGCCTCTGCAGCCGCCGATGCGCCAGAGGCTTCCCTGTGGAATCAGCTGGACTGGCTGCGGGGAAGCCTACCCAGGGCTGGCCCTTCCCCGGCAACTTCCCCCACCTCCCCTTCCAGGCCAGGCCCCTCCGAGCCTGCTGAAGGTGCCCATCTAGGAGCCCCCTGCTTTCCCACCACTTACCCACGACCCTCCTGGACTCCTGCCACTGCTGGATGGATGCCGAGTTCTGATAGTCCTCAGACCCCTCATCGCCTGCAGGGAGAGCGCCAGGAGAAAGGCTGGCAGAGGGGCAGCCACCGTGGCAGTCCTCAGGCCAGCAGGGTGCCCTGGCCTCCAGAGAGGCGTCCTGGCCCTCGTGCTGGGCGGCCCCTTGGGGACGAAGGGATCCCTCAGTGCGTTCCCACTGAGGCCCACGACTCATGGGGCCCCATCCCGGGACATGAGGCGATGCTTTACCCAAAGGCACCAAGACATCGGTGAACCTTCAGGCTTCAAGGCCGGTGACGCCTTTGAGCATGTCCCCTGTGCAGGCGGGGAGGAGACCTGGCTCCCGGCCCGGCGCGGGGCTGGCAGCCTCACCTGACTCAGTGGTCTGCTTGCAGATGAGCACGTTCTCATAGGAATTGGCATCATCGTCATCTGCAGGGAGAGGGGAGGGCTGGGGATGTTGGTGGGCCTGGCCCCACAAGCGGCCTCTTCCTCCCTCCCTCCCTCCCTCCCTCCTCTACTCCCTTGGCAGGTGACCTGTCCTGCCAAGCCCCAGCCCTCTGGGTGCCCCAGAGCCTCGAACACTTTCCTAGACAAGCTTCTTAATGGGCGCTGGCCTGGCTCCAGCAGCCTCCCCCCGGGCTCCTTCATCATCTTTCCAGGTCACCCCTGATTACAGTGGGGAGGGGAGGTTGAGCTGCAATCAGGCCCACAATGGATAGGTGGAGGGAGGGAGGCCCATCTCTGTCAGGCAGTGAGGGACTGGCAGAGCTGCTGGGCAGAGGAGAGCAGGAACCAGGCAGGGCAGGCAGGCTCAGGAGGCTTTGCCCCAGGGCCTAGGCTGGGGGTGGCATGTTGGAGCCTGGCACCCCCTCATCACCCGTGGACCAGGGAAGCTGAGCTCTAACCACCGCCTCACCCATCTGGGGTCCATCTGGGTCAGAGGGGCTCCAAGAAATGAGGCCCCTCCCCAATTCAGAAGCAGCAGGGGCAGCAGAGCCCTCTCTCCAGCACCCCAGCGCGGCCCAGGCAGGACCCCAGGTCGAGGGGCTGGATGTGAGCTCCAGCCCGTGCACCTCTCAGCAGGCACTGCCCACCCTTGGTCCTCAGTTTCTCGTTCTGGAAAGCAAAGCTTAAGGGCCTAAGGTCCTAGTGTCCTCGGAGCCTACGGGGCTTGGCGTCCGTCGGCAAGGCAGCCCGTCCAGGGCCTTCCTCTGAGGCCCCACAGGTGCTCATCCCATGCCGCCTGGCCCTGAGGAGCCAGGACGACCAGGGGCCCAGCCTCCCTGCTGCGCCTGCCTCCTCCCTCCTCCTCCTCATCCTCTGCCTCACCTGCCGGGGGCTTCTGGAACCACCCCCAGTTGTAACACTCCATGGTGATGGGGTCTCTGGCAAGAAAACAGACATGGCCTCAGTCGCTGCACGGCAGTTGGTGGGGCATTGCGGGGCCAAGGCTCTCCAGCTACCGTGCCCCCAGGGCCTGGGGGGCCTGACCAGCTTCTCCCCCAGTCCCTCCATCCCGCTTCCCTGTGCTCCTGAGCCACCCTGGGGCCGAGGGCTGGCAGCCCCGCTCTGGCCACCTCGCCGTGTGACCCGAGGCAAGTCCCCGCCTGCCCTGGGCCTCAGTTGGCCCATCTGTAAGATGAGGAGACATCTGAGGGCGCTTTGTCTCTGGGGTTCCATGGAATTGTCTCTGATGGGATGAGGCTCCTCCCCAGAGCAGGGCCACATGTCTTTCCCCACGAAGCCATGGCCACCTGAGGGGAAACGATGCTCCCGCGAGCCTGCCTGGGCGGTGGGTCCTAGGGCAGAAGGCCTTCACAAATGAGGAAGCTGAGGGCAGGGTGGCCGGGGGAGGAGGCGCCGGCCGGGAAGCCACTCACATGTAGGCTGCGTCTGTCCCATGCCTGCTTCCTGCAGGAGGAGGCAAGGATTAGGCCTGAGCCCGGGCTGTGGGCCCCCAGCGCAGCCCCCCTCCCTGGAGCCCACCCACCTTTGCTGAAGTCCTGGTACCTGGCGGATGCAGGATCTGGAAGGAAGGCCGGGCCCGTGACTCCCTCGCCGGCCCTGCCCGCCTCCCGCTCCAGCAGCCCAGGGAAGGGCCTGCACCCCAAGGCCTGGCTGTTTCCCACCTACACTCGCTCTGTCCCCTCCCTGCTCGGCCAGTCCCAGCAGGCCTCCCAGCCCAGCCCGGGGGTCTCCTCTGCAAAGTCCTCCCCATCAGGCCCGGCTCCCCTGGCCTGGCACAGGCCCCCCCCTGCACAGTGCCTGTTCCACCAGGTAGTCGCCTGTCCCAGCGCCCTGGCCCCTGCCCCGCCCCGTGTCTGAGAGTCGCTCACCCTCGAGGCTGGGGGAGAAGCGCAGCAGCTTGTCCTTCCTGCAGGGGACGGGAGGGCAGGGGCTGAGGAGGCGCCGGGGAGAGCCCTCTGGTTTCTGGGGGTCTGAAGGCCACAGCCCCGCAGCACTGGGGCCTGGGGCCCGAGGAACGAGCGAGGTCTTGGCCCGGGCTCAGCAGGTGGGGACCCCAGGGCCCTCCTCATCGCCTCCTGTGGGGCTGTGAGCCTCGGCCTGGGATGGACAGGGGCTCGTTCCTACCTTGCCGGCTCCACGTCAGAGGCCGTGTCCGCCAGGGGCCCCGGCCAGGCCTGCCTGACCACTGCAAAGGAGAGGGGTGTCGGCCGGGCCCCCAGGGCAGCCCCCACGTCCTCGCCCTGCCGGGTCAGGCCTGGTCACAGCCTCAGGACAACAGGGACAGAGGGGCTTTGATACGGGCACCCCAGCCCCGAGCACCGCCCTGGACCCTTCCATCCGGGGACTCACAGGAATAGGTCCGGGCCACTGCGAAGCTCTGTTGATTCTCATGCCTGGAAACACAAGGGGCTGTGCTGCACCAGGGCTGGGCCTCCTGCAGCCCGAGGGACAGAGAGACAGGCGGGACGGACAGACAGGGACGAGGAACAGAGGGAGGGACAGAGCAGGCAAGAGCGAGGAGCAGCTGCCGCCCCTCTGGGCCTCAGAGCCAGGGCTCCCGGTGGCCCTGTTCCCTGGACTACTCCCCTGCCCTCCACCGGGTCCCCCCTTCTCTGCTGCCAGCCAGACCCACTCCCTGACGCGCCTCCCGGACCCCCAGAGAGGCGGCCCTGAGACTCTGGGCACGAGGGGGTCGGGGCAGCTGCTCAGGGACCCAGCGGTGACTTCAACCAGGAGGGACAGAGAGGCTGCCCCCACCTGCCACCCCAGGAGGGTTTAACATTCCCGAGCGAGTGCTCCCCTCTCAAGATGTTCACACACCCCACACTCCCGAATGCCTGGGGGGTGGCGTCAAGGCTTAGCGGACACAGCTAGGCGCTGGTCTCGCCCAGTGTCCCTTCTTCCTTTGAAACAAAGCCCTGGTTTTTGTTTTTGAACATAATGAGGAAGATTGGCCCTGAGCGAACATCTGTTGCCAATCTTCCTCTTTTTTTTGTTTTTTTTCTCCCCAAAGCCTCCCAGTACATAGTTGTTTATCCTAGTTGTAGGTCATTCTAGTTCCTCTATGTGGGATGTCGCCTCAACATGGCCTAATGAGCGATGCCATGTCCACACCCAGGATTTGAACCGGTGAACCCCTGGCCGTCGAAGCAGAGCACGCAAGCTTAACCACTTGGCCACGAGGCTGGCCCCAGAACCCTGGTTTTTATTTAGGCAGCCACGTGCCCATCTAAAAGACTCTATTTCCCAGCCTGCTTTATACCTAAGTGTGGCCACGTGATTAAGCTCTAGGTCAATGAAATGCAAGCCAAAGGTGTTGGGACTTCCAGGAAGGCTCCTTACAGGAGGCACTGCCAACTGAAGTGCACCCTTTTTATCGTTCTCTTGCCTGGAATGCAGAGATGAGGGCTGGAGCTCTAGTTGCCATTTTGGACCATGAAGTGCCCTTGAGAATGGAAGCCACCACTAAGGATGGTGGAGCAGATTACCTAATCATTAAAGCATTTGGGCTCCTTCCGTGGGCCCAAATGGGGACCTGGCTCAGCCTTCCAGAAGTTCCTGGGGGCTCGGGGGTCAGGGTGATCTTATTTAGGAAGGATGTTCTAAATGCACAGGAGAGAGTCAGGCATGGGTTGCCAGAGGAAGTGATGCGGGGACTCGGTCTGGCACACACAGCAGTCGCTTCACGTAGGCTGGCAAGACTGAACCCAAGTGAGGAGGGGAGAACCCAAGTCTCCTGTCCCACCTCCTTCCACCCAGACCCAGTTTCCCACCTCCCACATGAGGAATTTTAGCTTCTGGCTCTGACACTCTGCAGTTCTCAGATCACTCAGGGCTCTGGAGTGGGCAGGACTGAAGGAGGAGGGGAAGGGAGACACTGGGAGAGCTGCCTGGGGCAGGGGCATGGGGGGCACTGGGGGAGCCCAGCCCAGCCCTGGTGGAGGTTGCGGGCGGGCGATCCAGGGGACCAGGTGGCCAAAAGAGTCTGGAAAGGTCCAGCCCCAGTGGCAGGGGTGGGCTTGGATGGGAAAATTCTATTTTCAAATCTCATTGTGGTTTTTCAGTTGCAAAAGGAAATGAGAAAGGGTGTGTGTGCGCATTTGTATGTGAGTGCCTGCCCAGGCGTGCACACAAGGGCTGCATGTGGGAGAAGTGCACGCATGAGCAAGTGTGCAGGGAGCCTGTGGGTGTGAGCGGGCGTGCAGGCCTGTGCACATGTGTGCACGCTGGTCTCAGAGGCCCCGCAGCCCTGGGTCAGTCACTCTCCTGCTCCACGTAAGGACACCAATAGCCACTGCCCTCCTGCGGGGGGGTGTTCCTGGGCCACCCCCTGGTCTGCAGCACCTGGCACAGCTGACCCCCCAGGGCCCAGAGAGCAGCCACCTGCCCCCGAAGTGCCTGGAACTCCACCCCACCTGGGTCCCAGCACTCCGCCTGGGGTCAGTGACCCCAGTTCATGTCTACCCCCACCTCCCTCCTTCCTGCTGCTCACAAGCCCCTGCTTCCTCCGTGGCTCCCCTTGGCCCTTAGGACAAAGGCTGCGGCACCCCTCCCCCGACACAGTCAGGGCCCTCCTCCCTCCCCATCCAGCTCAGCTCTCTCAAGACACCTGCACCTGCCGCCTCATCCCCGGAAGACAGTGTCCACCCTGGGCCTACGTCAGCAACTACCCACTGTTCTCTCTCTCTGGAACGTCCCCTTTTGCCTTCACTCTTGCGTAAGATCCTTCCCTCCTCCTTTGTCGGTGGGGGCTTCCCTGATCCCCCAAGGGACATGCCCACAGCCTCCCCTGGGCTCCTTTGACGTTTTCCAGGGGACATTCGGACACGGCTCACATTCTGCTTCCTGCCTGGGAGGTGGGATTCCCCGTCAGCCTCCAGCACCAGTGCAGCGGGCGCCCCTGGGCTGGGGTCAGAGGTGGGATCTCTGGAGGTGCTCCTGGGCAGGCAGGAGAGTAGCATCGCCGCCTCCCCGAGCCCCGCAGCCCAGGCTGGGGCCGGGCCTGGAGCCCCTGGACGCCCCCTCTCTCTCCCCTACTGCTGGGAACAACTAGAGGCCGGCATGGATGAGGTGGGAGTGAAGGGTGAGGACAGGGTGCAGGGATGTGCAAGGGGACTTCCGTGCAGGTGCCCACGCCTGGGCACACGAAGTCACCAGGCTGGGGACACCGGGGCACTTACAGGCTCCTCTGCTGGTAGATTTTCTCAGACCGCTTCGTACCTGCAAGAACGGACAGACTAGCGGGAGTCCTGGACCTGGGTGGGGGCTGAGACCCAGGCTCCTCGGCTTGTCTCCCCTGTGCCCTGTGGGGGCCTCGGACATGGAGGCCATGGGGGCCGAGCCGCCATCGCTGCGGACAGCCTGACACTGACAGCACGTTCACTTGCCATTCATTCAGGAGACACAGCCAAGCAGCCCAGCCGCCCCTTGTCCAGAGCATCCCCCAGCCTCAACCCTCGCCCTGACCCAGAAAACCCAAGCCCCCCAGTGAGCCAGCCCCATAGCCTCAGGGGCCGGCCCTGGGGTGTCGCCCCTGCCTCAGGAGGCTGATATGGCTGTCCCTCCCACCGCAGCAGGGCTGGCCCACGCAGCCCCGGGAGGACATCATCTCCTCCATGTCCCCACGCCAGGCCTTACCTGGGCGGGAACAGCGCATACACAGGCCGGCCACTGCCCCCAGCAGCAGCAGCAGGGCCGCCCCTGGCCACAGCAGCTCAGTCTCAGTCTCGGTGCTCATGTCCGCTCTCGGCCACTCCTCCTGCAAGCTGCAGTGTGGGCGCCCTGTGAGCCAGGTCAGGGGCTGCCGGGCCACCCCGCCAGGAATCTGCGCAGCCCCACGCCCTCAGGTTTCTGACCCGCACTGTCCCCTGACAGCCCCACAGCTGAGCCCAGGCTGAGGGACACCGCTTCCCTCCCTGCTCCAGGACCCGTCCGGGTGGAACCAGCCCTGTTCCCCTTCTGACCCCAGACCCCGGGGCCTTGTCAACACTTGGCAAGTGCTGGCAGGGTCTGGGCACCCAGCAGACAGCCTGACACGTGTGTGCACACTCCTGTCCACACCCTTGCCTAATTCACACAACCACCCTTTGAGGAAGAGGCTCGCTCCGTTTCACAGGTAGAGACACTGAGGCCTGATCCCACAGCTGCTAAGTGGGAAGACAGAATGCAAGCTCTGGCCTGCGGACCCCGACTCGGGCTCTGCTGTTGCATCCCTTTCCTCCTGTCAACCCAGCCCTGCTCTCCTGCCCCTTCTGTGCAGGGGCCCCAGCAGTCTCCGCCCCAGGGCTCTGCTCTGCCCCATCCATAGCCTTCCATTCCTTAAACGCCTGCTCGCCCAGGTTCCTCCTGCCCTGGGAGCCGGAAGGAGGGAGCCTGAGGGGATGAGGGGAGAATGGGGCTCTGGGCAGAAGGACCTGGTGGGCTGCCTGTGGCGGCCAGTGGTGGGATGTGCTGGGAAGGTGGGGCTGGAAGGGAGATGCGGCAGGGCGAAGAGGCCTGAATCCCTGGCTGGCGTCAGGCCACTGCTTGGTCAGTGGCTGGGCCTACCTCGAGGCCACACTGTGGTTGCCAGGCCTCGGTGAAGCCACAGGCAGCCCCACACCAGGGCCTGGTGTGAGCAAGGGCAGCCCTCTTGAGGGGGCTCCCAGAGAATCGTTGTGGCTATAAAGACACAGCCCCTCACAAAAGGCCGGGGACCCAGCTCAGGGCAACAGAGGGTCTCGGGCTGGCCCCGTGGCAGGCACAGGAGCCCCCACTACGGAGCGCCCACTCTGTGCACAGCTGTGTTCCTCCGGCCTCGGCCACCTTGGAGGAGGGCTGCTCCCCGTCTTACAGCTGGGGAAGGCCAGGCTGGGAGGTCCCCTGAGGCCTGTGCTGCCCCTGCTCCCCTCCCCCCAGCTGTGTGGCCTTGGGCGAGGCTGGAAGCCTCTCTGAGCTTCCCACATCCCCATGGCAAAGATGGCAAGGAGTCTCCCGGCAGCACGGAGTCCCGGAGAGGCCGCCTCCCCCTCCCCAGAGCACCAGCGAGTCAGTGGGAGCACGCGGATGCCCGAAATGCACGACGGGCGGCCTCCGAATGAGGAGACGGGACGACCCCATCACCCATGATGCTGTCCCAGGGGGCTCAGCGCTACCCCCTCAGGGCCTGGGCACTGCCTCCCTCCTGCGACCCCGCCTCCGGCCGGCAGCCCCAGGCAGACTCTGTCCCGACCCGCAGCCTTGACCCCAGGCTGTCTAAGGCTGCCGGAGGCTGGGAGCACCTGGGCTCGGAGGGAGGACTCCTGGGTCACATCCTGCCCGAGCCTCAGTCCCTTGGCCTGCTTTCTCATCGATAAAGTGGGGATCCAGCCAGGGCCTTCCTCAAAGCGCTGCCGGGGAATGATGAACCTGGCCCGGCCTGTGGTCGGGGCTCCTGAGAAACGTGCTTGGGGTCTCGTTTCCGGCCGGCTGGGACGGACGGCTCCCTCGGGCCCCCGACCCTCGGCATCTCTGTCCTGCGGTTAGGACAGATACTCTTCCCACCCCGAAGGAGATCTGGGCACAGATATGCGGGTGGGTCACGCACAGGCTTGCCGGGAGCGCCAGGGTGCCGGGGTCCAGCCCTGGCTACCCTGGGGTCTGCTTAAGACCCCAGGAGCAGGTCCATGCTCTTGGCCTGGCGTTCGAGGCCCCGGGAGCTGGTCTGCTCGCCCCTGCCACCTCCGGGGAAGGGCGGCCCTCCATTCCAGGGGACCCTGACCCCCGGAGGCCCTCTTGCTTCCTGGACAAGTAGCACCCTGGGGGCGCCCCCAGCTCTGGTGATCTCCCCCCACCTGGCACTGGGTGAGGAAGTGGGGGACGTGGCGCACCAGTTCTACCCCAGTTGCTGAATCCCAGCGTCACCCGGCTTTGGTGGCCCCTCTTGTCACATGGGGGAAATAATGACACTCCTCCCTCGGTTTGTCATACCAGGCCCAGCATAAGGCGCTAGTGCAGGATGGGGCACGGTCCCCCAGGTGCACCCTCCCCCCTGCCTGGTCCCCCAGACATGCAGCCTGAGCCCCCTCCACTGCCCCACATGGGCGTCGTGCTGGGGCGCCTGGAGGGGTGGGGTCTGAAGGGGTGTGTTGCTCATGCCCCAGCCCCTCAGCTGTCACAGACACGCACAGCCTCACAGGGGAGACGCAGCTCCTCTCTTCCAAGGAAGGAAAGGGAGGCCCAGAGGGGTGAGTACACTGTCCAAGGTCACACAGCTGGCCAGTCACAGAGCCAAGATCAAACCCAGGGCAGGCTGGACCTGAAGGCCATACACCTTTATCCCTTTCTTGTATTACCTTTTTAAGAATCATGAAATATTTTTTAAAAGAAAGACTAATTTGAGGGAAAGTCCTGTGGCTGCCCCCCAGACGGAATAACTCTGCCCTTTCTCCTTGCTTTGCCACCCGGGTTCTGAGAGCAGGGGGAGGGAGGGGGCTGAGCCCCAGGGGAGGCAGGCCCAGCAGCCCCGGGAGGGCCCCAAGGGGCCAGGCAGACCTAGGGGGGTGGCCACAGCCTGACTCTGCAGGCCAAAATAACACAAAGGGAAGTGGGCAGTTTTCATATGAACAAAGCTCGCAGCAAGCTGGCTGCAGAAAAGCCCTCGGGGCTGGGCTGGGTGGGCCTCCTGGAGACCAGGCTGCTCGCTCTGCAGCCCTCCTCATGATGTAGATGGGGAAACTGAGGCCCACCCAGGCTCAGGGCTGGCTGGGGGAGTGAGAGGTCCCCTTATCTGCAGGTTCTCCTCGGGGCTTGTTCCGTTTTCCCAAATGACCTTGGCCTTCAGGTGAGGCTGACCTAAAGGCCACTAGCAGAGGCCCTTAATGCCCAGGGGGTCGGCCAGGGGCCTGGACAGCCCTTGGCCCAGGGCATTGGGGGGATGGTGAAGGCCAGGGCCACCTGTTGACAGAGCCGCTTGAGCTCCCCGGGGCCCACAGCCTCTCAGTCCCCAGCAGGGAGCTGGCAGGCCAGGCCGGGCCCGGCAGGTGGGGGCCCAGGGATGGCTGCTCCCCTCTGGCCTGGGGCATGGCCTGGAACGCTTGCCTGGAGGCTCACCCATCCTCCCATTTCACATAACGGTTCCATTTTATAGATGGAGAAACCAAGGCTCATGGGCTGGCCTGGGGAGCTGCTGTCCTGGCCAACTGGCTATCTCTCACCAGTCTCTGGAAGTGATGGGACCCCCCCCGGGGCTGCCCGGGGCTGGGCTGGGAAGGCCGGAGCCCCTTGGAGGGCCGCAGGGCCAGGACTGGGGCCAGGGGAGGGAGCCAGGCGCTTCCACCCCACCCAGCCGGCCGCCAGTGCTCCTGTGGGCCACTCCCGGCCCTCTAGGGTGGCAGGGGGACAGCGGTGGGACCCCCACCTCAGGACCAGGCTCCAGGAGCTCCTGGGAAAGGCCTACCTGGGAATCGGGGCTCCTCACTGCGGCTGCCTCATCCTGACCCACGCACCTGCCCCAGCTGCCAGCAGACGCCGCAGACACTGGCGGGCGGCCGGCCCGGTGGCGGGCTTCCTGTCAGCCCCTGAATCATCCTCACACATCCGCCGCCCTGCTGGACAGGCCCTGCCGTAACAGGCGGGCCCGGGAGCCACTCACAGAGAGACAGAGGGACAGGGACAGAGACAAGGACGGGCACAGGCGCAGAGGGAGCAGAAAGACACGACACACACATGTAAACGTAGTCAGGGAGGGGAAGGGCCACATGCAGAGGGACAGGGAGAAGGAGAATGAAGTGGAGGGGCTCACACACACACAAACCACAGTGAGAGAATGGGAGACATGGAGACACACACATATAATACACAACACACAGAAGTACATACCACACTGACAACACATGCACACATACACACCCCTAGACACAAAGAGACAGAAAGAGACGTAGAGGCAGGGAGAGAATGAGAAACACATATGCACACGCGCGCACACACACACACACACATTCACAGAGGGACAGAGAGAGACGGGCAGAGACTGGGCCTGAGATGGACCAAGAGACACAGAGGGAGACGCAGGAAGACAGATTGACAGAGACCCCCAGAGGGAGGGAGGCAGAGACAGAGACACTCAGAGAGCAAAGTCCCAGAGAACCAGACACACGTACACACACACACACGCACACACACAGACACAGACACAGAGCCTGGGACATGGATGGGTGGGGCGGACAGAACAAATGATGGAGACATACAGACAGAGGAACGGACAGTCACAGGCATCAGAAGATGCAGGACAGGGCCGAGCTGAAGGACAGAGGAAGGAGGGACGTCAGGACTGCTCCAGTCCCGGGAGCCACACCTCATTAGCTCTCTTCTCCGGATGGGGCTCAGGGGCATGCAGAGCCCTCCCTCGGGGGGGCCTACAGGGCAGGGGGGAGCCAGGCAACCTGACCCCACCCTGACCCCTGCCCCACCCAGCTCCTGCCCTCAGCGGGGGACCGAGGGGCTGGGAGGACTGGACGGTGGCCTGCGGCCCTCGAGCAGCTGCTTAGTAACCACACACGTCCTTCTGGGGGCCTCGTGTTAGGGGTCATTAAGTAACCTGCCCAAGGCCATTGAACTGTTAGTGGTACCCCACCTGCTAGAGACCCCAGGGAAGCCTGAGAGGCGTCCCAGACCCTGGGCTCCCCAGCTCTGGGGCCGCTGTTGGCCTGGGACTGGGTTTCTCTTCAGCCCCATCCGGTGGCCCAGCACAGCCAGGGCTAGGCGTGGGTGGCAGCACAGACAGGAGGCCAAGCGGAACTGAAACAGAAACCAGGGTCCTGGGCTGCCCGGTGCTGCCACCCTGTGGGAGAGAAGGGTAGCACATGGACTGGAAGCTTGGGGAAATCCCGGGGCCGTCAGGGCCGGGAGCTTGTCTCTGTCCTCGTAGGTAGTGGGACCAGGTCTAAGGCTCACCCCGTCTGACTCCCAGACCTGTGTGGTGCGGTCAGCGCCGTGCTCCCTTGTTCCATGCTGGGCAAAATGCGACACGTGATTCCCATGGTAACTCTCACCAGCTGGACATTAGTTTTCTGACACTGCTGAGACGACTGGAGGCTCATGGAGCTAGATTTGAACCCAGACCCCAAAACCTGTTGTCTCCCCACCACCTGTGAGCAGGGACATCCATGGGTGTGCACCAGCAGCCCTGCTCCGCTAGGACCACCTGCCTGGCCCCTCCTCACACTACAGGGACAAGCCTGAGTCAGTTTCCATCCATACCCGGACTACGGGCCTGCCTGGCATTTCCTGCCCACGGGACGGACAGAAGCCCCATCACGTCCAATGGGAATGGAGCATCTCCACACTCCCGGCTTCCGTCCCGGGCCCAGCAACGGCAGGTGCTGGACAAGTGACCTCTGACCACTGGCAAAGTCTCAAGGTCAATCCACAGGGGACCTAGGAGCCCTTCAGGACCCTCTCTGAGCCTGTTTTCTGTCAACAAAATCAGGGGCCTGTCCCTCCGAAGACCCTCTTTGGACCTGAGTGGAAGGAGGACCCTGCCCCCTTTCCAGGCAATTCTCAAATTCCTCCAAGTTCTCTTTTATCTATAAACCATTCCATTGTGAACTAGAAAATAAGCTTTAAAAAACTAGACAGTTGGGGCTGGCCTGCTGGTGTAGTGGCTAAGGTGGTGCACTCTGCTTTGGTGGCCCAGGTTCATGGGTTCAGATCCCAGGTGTAGACGTACGTCAAGCCATGCTCTGGTGGCATCCCACATACAAAATGGAGGGAGACTGGCCCAGATGCCACCTCAGGGCCACTCTTTGTCAAGCAAGAGAGGAAGATTGGCAATAGGTGTTAGCTCAGGACCAATCTTGCTCACCAAAAAAACCCCCCAAAACAAAAAGCTAGACAGTTTTTAAAGTCCAGTTGTATAAATTCTAGTGCACTAAGGGTTTTTTTTTTTTTTACAATTCAATGGTTTTTGGTGTCTTACATAATTTTTTTAAAGTTGTGACAAAATATGTGTAACTTAAAATGTACCATTTTAACCATTTTTAATTGAGCAATTTGCTGGCATTAATTACATTCATAACGTTGAATGGTCATCACTGCCATCTATTTCCAAAATTTTGTCGTCACTCCCACAGGGCCATTCGGCTGCTTGGTTCACAGCTGAGTAACAGTTGTGTGCATGTTTGTTCCAGAAGCAAGATGCCTGGGTAGAAATGCAACAGCTCTGAGAAATAACCAATTCCAAGGCTGAGAGGAAGCTATGGCTTTTCTGCAGAAAAAGGCATCTTGGGGCCACCCCATGGCTGAGTGGTTAAGTTCGCATGCTCCGCTTCAGCGGCCTAGAGTTTCACCAGTTCGGATCCTGGGTGCGGACATGGCACCTCTCATCAGGCCATGCTGAGGCGGCATCCCACATGCCACAACTAGAAGGACCCACAACCAAAATATACAACTATATACTGGGGGGAGAAGATTAATTTAAAAAAAAAAGGAAAAAGGCATCTTCAAAGTGTATACAACCTTCTAGAAGCCCCTGGAGTTGTCTATGTCGTCTGACTGCCACCCCCAACTCCTAGGTGCAAAGGAGCACCGCTCTCCCCTCATCCCCAGCCACCCACAACACTTATCTTTGGTCGTGAGCCCACCACCCAACGGAACCTAGAATATTCCCCCAGTTTCCCGCTTCCCCCAACCTAAGTAGCATCTTTTTATTTTGTTTTTTGTCACCTACATGTATTTCTAAGGTTTTTTTTTTTTTAATTTTATTTTTCTTCTCTCCCCAAAGCCCCCCAGTACACAGTTGTATATTTTTAGTTGTGGGTCCTTCTAGTTTTGGCATGCAGGGTGTTGCCTCAGCATGGCTTGACGAGCGGTGCCATGTCTGCACCCAGGATCCGAACCGGCGAAACCCTGGGCCGCCGAAGCGGAGCACGTGCACTTAACCACTCGGCCACAGGGCCGGCACCCAAAGTGTTTTATGTGTAAGAAAAGGCATCCTGCTGTCTGTAAGCATTCGGGACTCATTTTCCACCCACCATGTTGCTGTGGTCCACACACATTGCTGTGTGTGGCTGTAGTTCATTCCTTTAGATGGCTGTACAGCTTTCCACTCTGAACAGTTTTTGCTGCTGTGACTGTCGGTTCTCCTGGGTCCGTACCTGGGAGGGGAACCACTGGGCTCCAGAGTACGGGAACATTCCATTTTCAAGTTATTGCTAATTTCAAGTTAAACTTCCAGAGTGGCTGTGCCCATCCACTCTCCCACCTCTAAGACCCGAGATGCACAAATTCTCCAGCAACTGGTTTAACAGGCTTCTTGATTTTTGCCATTTGAATGCGTGTGAAATAGTGTTTTATTTCTCTGCAGTCTTGACTTAGAATTCCTTGATCGCTAACGAGGAAGAACGTCATTTTTTGGCCATAGTTCCTCTTCTATGCAATGCTTAATATTTTGCTTAGCTTTCTATTTCTCTTACCAATTTGCAGGAATTCTTGACGGACTCGTCTTTCTTTAGTTTGTAACTTTTTGCATTTCGCTTATGTTGTGATAAAGTACTTTCTAAATCTAGTGAGCATATTCTTAATTTCAAGAGTATAGTACATAGGAGAAAGACTTCTAACAATAGCACAAGGAAGCTTGTACTATTTATAGAATCTCTGGGCTGCTGAAAAGCTGCTTTGATCTGCTCTCCCAACTTCGAGGCCAGTCATGATTTTACTAACATTTACATTGTGTCTCTCAGCTAGAAGAACGGGTACAGGAAACAAATTCTCTCTCGCGCCCAAAGTGAATGCCAGGGAGCCTGCCACCGTGGAATGGTCTGCTTTTCTTTGTACATTTAACATCGTGCAGTTATGGGGGAAGAGATGAGTGGTAGGTTATAATTAAGTACATAGACTTCATTATTTTGGTTCATTTTCACGAGAAAAAATTGGAAAAGGAAGATTCTGAGATACTAGATGTGTTTCTAAGCCCATTAACATCACACAAGTGAGAAAGTAACTGAAACAGCTCAACGTTGTTAAAGGTTGGTCAAGAAAACACTAAAGATAGGGCACAGCTCCTCACCAATAAAGGATGTGTGGCCAGGCCTGGGCCAGCCGCTGCTTCACAGAGCATAAGGAGCCCGGCCCCAGCAGCCCGCCGCCTGTGCAGTCCCCCCAGGGGGACGTTGTTGGCTGTTTCGCCACCCTACACCGGGCAAACCACCCGGGGAGGGGAGGGCAGAGCGAGCGACGATGATGTGACACGCACATGCCCTGCTGTCCTGGACTGAAGGTCCTTTAAAAAGCCCTGGATGCAGCGCCCGCCTGCCCGCCTCCCCTCCTGACTTCCCTGAGAGCACTGGCGAGGGGTCCCACTGGAGGCCCAGCCCTCTCCCCTCGACCCCGAAGCCCCTGCACAACTGCACTCGTCACTGCAGAGCGAGCCCTGCCTGTGTGTGACCCTGCGTGACCTGATGGCCATCTGGAATTTGAGCAGAGGCCCCAGGGGAATCAAGGAAGTGTGACTCGGGAAAAGTGCTGAGTGCCAGGCTGCTGCAAACACAGGCCCACGGACCTCGAGGCCACAGAGCACTGCAAAGAAATGCTGTTTCTGGTGAGTCGGAGCAGCATTACACGTTGAGCTAATTAGTGCTTCTTGTTCTAGACTAAACTTCTACCACATAATCTCCTCCACCAAGAAACCAGGCTACTCCTTTGAAATCACGAACAGGAAGCGGACGCCAGTGACAGTTCCAACACTTTCCTCCATCACACAAA